AAAATGACAAAGAAACAATGCTAGGACTGGAAATAAATAAAATGAGAGTAGTTAAACACAGGAATTTATTAATGGAATTAGAGTAAGTATAAACCTCCAGAATTTGCCTTGATAATGCAGCAACCGGAGACACTTTAAGGCGAAGCGCACGAAAAGTTAATAAAATTAACAGACACTGACCATCAATTATTGCCAAATTGTTGAAAATAATAATTATTAAATAGTTAAACGACTATTATGAAGTCTTGTTAAGGGAAGAGTAAACAAAAAAGGCTATTAAGCAAAACGAGAACTAGAAGAAAGTGAAATTAATTGAATTATATAACTACAGCAATTTAATAATGAAATTCAGGATATAAAACCTCAAAAAGCTTCAGGTTTTTCTTTGATAATAAAATATCCGAATACATTCACAAAAAGAAACGAGCACAACTTTCTAAGCTAACGTTTTATTGAGTCTCGAAAAAAAGTACTAATAAATAATGCTAGAACTGGAAGAAAGAGATTAGTAATACGGGAAGTTTCGTAGGAAATTTTAAAAATAAACCCCTAAGAAATTACCAATTTTGCTTTCATAATAAAATAACGGAAGAAACTCAGCTGAAGAACGGCAATGCTCTAAGGACTGATAACTTTTTTTGATAAATTAGGGAAGAATCTTATTAAATAATTAAACCAGGATTTAATTTAAGTAATTAGTTTTTCAATAGTGGGATTTTCGGTCAACGAATGGTGGCAAAATAAAACAGTACTTTTTCGTGGGCCAACGTTTCGACTTTATTCAAGTCATCCTCAGGGCTCTAAAATCGAAAACAGAGGTTTTTAGCCTAGAGCCTGGTGGAGTTTCAACACTTGTGTGTGACATCGTTATACAATACAAATTTAAAAATTTAAAGAGCACACATCTAATCAACCACAACATATTTAATTTAAGGTTTTTTCAAGTCTGACAAAAAATACTAAGAACCACTGCCAGGACTATAAGAACGTGAAAAGGGATTTTTGAATGAAATTTGGACCATAAACCACACAAAAGCTCCAGATTTTGCCTGAAATTGAATTGAATGAAAAACTTTGCTGAAGTTTCTTATTAAATAATCAAACAACTATTTAAATTAAAATATTGGTAAAAAAATAGCCAATGAGCAATAGACGACTAGAAGAAAGTGAAATAACTTAAATTACATGAATGAAATTAAGACCATAAACGACCAGATTTTGCTATATTAATTTAAAAAGAAACTGGTTAAGCTCAGAAAAACTAATAAACTTGCAAATAATACCCTGCAAATAAATGTTTGAAAAACCGCTTAAATCTCTTATTAAATATTTAAACAAATATTTTAGTTGGAACAACTTATTAGGCCTGAAAAAAATGTCTGCGCAACAGAAAATGCGACGACTGGAAGAAAGTGAAATTAGTTTCGTTATATGCGAGACTATAAGAACCAAACATAAACTATAAACCCCCAAAAAACGCCAGGATTTCCTTTTATAATGAAATAACTGGATAAACTTTAAAGCAAAGCTGACTAAAAGCATTAATAAAACTAACCGACACTGCCAAAAAACTGTCGGAAAATCGGAGATAATTCTCGTCATACCTAAACGACTGTTTAAGTTGCAGCTTTATTAACGCTACTATTAAAAAAAGACTAAGAAACAATACCAGTATTGGAGAAAGTAAATGGGGATAAATGAAACTTGGACTATACATCCCTAAAAACTTCCAGCTTTTGCCTGTATGATAAAATAACTTGGAGAAACTTCAAGGCAAAGCTCACGAAAAACCCTAATAAAATTAACAGATACTGGGAATGAACTATTGAGAAATCGTTGAAAATTCCTATTAAATACTTAAACGACTATTTAAAGTTTTATAAACCTAGCAAAAAATGCATCATGTCACATAAAATGGGAGAAATTCGCGTAATTGCTCGCCAGCTGATAGCTTAATTGGCAAAATTCATGTTCGATATCTCTTCAGGATTCCATACCAAAGTTGCATTTTTATATTGAATACTTTGACTCTAGTTGTTAGTAAAAACTAATGTAAAATGTTTATTCATTTAGTCCAGTTCGTTAAAAAAATTACGGCAAGGTTTCCGGGACCACAAAATAAATTTGAAAATATGGAAATGTTACTACAGAACCAGTTCCGAGGTGTGTTAGAATTATGGCACAAATAAATGGCCGAAACACAGCAACTTCAATGGGTTTTAAATATGTATAGCCAAAAGCGAATTGATAGAAAAGCCAGTTCGTTAAAGTTCAAGCGATTTGGTGAAAGTTATTTATTCCAGTGGAGCTTTAACTAGGAAACCGTCGATTTCGCAACTGAAACTGTTATATCATTCATAGATGAGTTAAAGAGCATCCGCCTGGGATAAAGAGTGAACTTTATTCAGAGGCTGAACAAAAACGTTTTAGGAATTTAAGCCAATGGTAAATGAATTTAAAATTTTGAGCTTGATAAGAAACCCTTTGTTGGTTGGCTTCTAATTGCTTTTGCTTTTAAAACTTTAATATCACCCCTAATAAACTGTGTGAACTTTTTGTGGTTGCCGAAATTAATTCTTTGCATCACCCATAAGGATATTTTCAACAAATATCTATGATGTTGCCTTTGTAAATTTTATATTTATCTTTAATTATACTTGAAAATTATCAATAGCCGGTAAACACAAAAGACGTAATTATTTAAAGGTTTAGAGACAAACATATCAGAAAAGTATTTACATAAAACATATTTTGCCTGCTATAAACGAGAAAATTTTAAAGTAAGAAAACAACTTTCATGTTTTACCTCTGAGCAGAGCTTTAACTAATAATTACTCTTTTCTTTCGCGTGTCTTTTCAGAAAATATTCATAAATAATAATAATCGTTCATAATTTTTTATAAATTTCAATATTAATCATGTGATGTAAATTACTGTGATTCACAAGCATTTTTCTAAACAATTAACATTGTTGATTGAAACTTTTAGGCAATCGGCGATAGGAATTTCTTCCTGACGTTTCGCAAGCATGAGTTACTTCCATCTTCAGAAGCATGTTGGCTCCCTGACCAAGAAGACCTAAAAGCACGAAAAACTCATCAGTTTCAAAAAGCCGCTAGCTTAAAAAGTTTAGTTTTACAAAGAATATCACATCCTTTCAACGAAGGCAGAAGCTGGCGAGTTTTTCAGACCGTCGTGAAAAAAATATTTCTGATGTTTTCCAAGCACGGGTGTTTTGGCTCTTTAGAGGTGTGTTCGATACGGATGCGAACATACCTCTGAGGATGCTCTTGAGCTTGCGAAACGTCCAAAACAAATTATCCTTGAGCCGGCCTAAAAGACTGAAAAACTCTCAAGTTTAAAGCAATGGTCACGGAAACCTATGGTTATTTTCTTGCTTTTCAAGCTTCTCAGCTTAGAAACGTCCTATAAACATTTTCAAACAAGTAAGTTTGTATTTTACATATGTCCAAATGAATTACATTTTTATATCAATTATTTGCTTGCTTAAATTTTAATTAGATTAATTTTAGTTAAGAAAAACAATTATTGAAATGCAAATAACGCTTGGAAAACCACGAAAAAATTGAATTTTGTCGTCCAACGCGACATCTAAAGCTACTTCTGTAAAGCATCTGGTGCGATTTCTTCAAAAAATGTTCTGGGCGTTTTTCAACAATTCTTCATCTACTTTCTTCGCTGAGGTAGAGATGGCGAGCGCTCCTTAACTTGTTCTAGACAGGTAGGTTTTTTACTAAATTTTTCTTATTTTGTCCTTATAAGTAGGTTTGGACATACTTAAATTTATCGAACGTGCTAAACTAATTCAAACATTCTACATAAAAAGCCTCAGTATAAGTTAAAGAACTTATTTTGATTGTTGAAACTGGCACAGTATTTATTTAAGAAATTAGATAATCAAACAATCGTTTTTCAGAATTAGGTCCTTTCAATATTTATTAAACATTTTTTACTGCCTGATTGTTTTCGACATGAAACATTTTTTAAATCACCATTTTACCTCGCAATGACGCTCTTAGAATAACTTCAAAAAAATTGATGATCAAATTTGTCAATTGCACAAATACAAGAAAGCAAATAAAGGTTTTTTAACCTATCAGTGCTTAGATCGATTACCCATAAACTAGCCGCAATCTAAGAAATTTAATCTGATCTTACACCGATTTCCACTTGATAAATTAATACCTGCTCGATGAAATATTATCCTAATAAAGCCGAAATAAAACCTCGATCTACGTGCCGAAATGCACGTGTAAATTCACCGTTAAAGTCCATCGGATTTGTCCTAAATCAAACTAACGTTAACTGCACATGATAAAATCAACAGTTGATTAAGCACGAATCCCGATTAAAACTGAACGCCGCTTTTTTCTGGAGAAATCTTAATTTTCTGGTTTCTAGTCGAATTCGAATTTCAGATTAACCGTACTAATTTTTTCCATTTCATTAATGATATCCGAATGAGATTGGCTGGCGTTCTTGTGGTCTCTTTCATTTAAATTTGTGTAGCTTCATTTAAATAATTGCTTCATTTTGCTTATTTACATACGCAGGAGAAGAACTGAATGAAGATACGTGAGTTGAACTAATAAATGGACAACTGAGCTCTTTTGGATCCGTAAATTGGCTAAAATTCTAAAAAAAATTCAAGTTCAATAAGTTGCGTCTTTGTGATCAGTCAGCGGTTGAACTCAAAACTATTGAATATTCTAAGAAAACTTAACTGATTTTTTACCGCAGCTGCCTAAATATATTTTAACTATTTCGGAAAGTTGTTGACGTTCTTTCACAGAAATGTTTTCCTGATTTAATCAACATTTTTAAGAGTGGGTGAAAGCTTTATAACAACCCATACTAAAGATGTTTTAAATTCCTTATTACACTTTTCCCGAAAAAAACATTGTCGGCATTTTATCTTAAGGACATTAAAATCCAAACTAAATAAGTAATTATAGTCTAAATGATCTTAAATGAAGCTATTTTACATATAATTTTCGGTTTATTTTAACAAAACTTACTTAAACACTATTGACTACTTCATATTACAAGACCTTAAAATAGGAGCTAATTTTCAACGCAATGAGTGCGTTTTTGTGCGGAAGTCATACTTCAAGTCGTCCTCTAAATGTTCGGTAACAGGTTTAACTTGCTCGGATTCCTGGAGGTTTACACCTTTCGTCCAAGCGTTAGGCAGAAGGAAGATCGGCAGTATAAATTTGCCTAAAGAAGCTGGTGGCTGTTTAGTAACCTAAAAGTTCAGATAATTGCTACTTTGTTCACTCAATTTACATTTATTAGCTTCACTCATTACCCCAATGCATCTTTTTAGGAGAACACAAAGACAATGGTTTCCCCAATACCAGCGTAAATTAATTCTTAAAATATTTAAATCCCCATTAACTTAACTAGAAAACCCTGAAATTACGTATCTTTAAATCAAGATTGTGTTCACTTAGTAAAGGGCTTAGCAGGTTTCACACACGATCAGTGGTCAAGTCGCCCACGTATTCTTCTTAGGGTCAACGTCTCCCCAATTAAAAATTGATCTAATATGAACCACTCGGTTTTATGGTCGATTTGAGATGGGTTCTGGAGGGTTTCTTAATTAATTTCCGATGTCTATTGATTAAAACTGAAGCACAAGAGCTTAGCTGGGAGCTTTAAGATGGGCATAACCATACGCGCTTGGAAGAAGCAAGGAAATTGGTTTTGTACAGGGTGATTTTTCAATTTGTGTTCACATGTTTTTTTGGAGTTTTGAGTTTGCTTTCGTCATTCGCTTTGTTTTTGCCGATATCGTTTCAGCTCTTTGCAGCTGTAGGAACCTGAACATCTCACAGAGAAATCGAACTAAAGAACAAATAAATTAATTGCAAACAACTGAAGTGACTGTGATCTGACCAGTAAAACAAACTGCAGCCTCAACATTTGCAAGAAATCTTTATAAGACAAACTAACCCAAATTAACTCCATGAAGCAGAACTTTTTTATTCCCTTCCTTCATTTTCTTACTGATTTGCGTAGTGAGAGAGATAAAATTTCAACAGCTCTTCAAAAGTAATGAAGCACTTTTGTTGAAAACTCCAATCAAACCCTTTGAGTTTAGAATGCTTAACCGCGCCTAATTCCAGCTGTAATGTATAAAATACAAGTTGTTCTTCCACGTTCCTCTTTAAATAACATGTTCCTTTATCGGTACCATTAATAACCATTTGATCTATAAATTCTTCATAGCGGACCGCAAAAGGTACCGCCATGGTTCTAGTTCAATTCGATCGCCCACACACTCCCAGACACCCTGCTGTTTAAAAAGAAGATATATGGTGGTACTTTTCCTAATTCTAATTTTATTCATTTTATTGCCTGCTTCGTTGTTACAACTTCCCATCGCATTCAAAAAGTTACACAAAACGGTTCTGCCTTGTCCCTCTGTATGGTTCAAGTTAAAAGTTACTCCGCCTGGGAAAATGACTTTATTTGTGGCTTTTCTGGTTTGGGAATCGGTTAGATTCTTGTTTGTTCCTTAATTAGGTTTGTATTGCTGAATAAATAATGTTATTTTAGTATTATTCACCACATGATCGTTGCTTCGAAGAGCCAAATTTACAATAGTCATTTTAAATTGAATATTTTTCAATATTAGCGGTGCACAGTGTCACATTTTGGTTTTTCTTCTTTGAAACTCAAGCAACTGTTCAGTATCTAATCAATGAATCATCGTGATTTTTTTAAATGAAGCTTAGGCAGTCAGGAATGTTGTAAAAATTTTTAAAGGCCAATTAAAGACATATACTTGGATCCGGACAAATTGGCGAAATTGGTAACTCTCTTAATACGGGCCCGATTTCGACCATTGAAAATTCGTTCGAAAGCGAGTGATTTGATCTAAAAATCGTATTTTGCAAACTTGAAATCAGATAAGAGACTTAAATGTATGTTTTATGTATGTAGAAATGTTCAGAAAGAAAACTGGGTTTTTCGAAAAACGTACGATTTTCTATAAAAACTGCATCTCTAAAAATTGCAATCGATTGAAAAATTTATGATGATTTTAAGGTCGAAAAGACGATTTTCTCAATCCCGAACAAAATAATGTTACCTCGATTAACTCATTTTCAAAATAGAACACCAGATTGTTGGCAAAGTGCATTCTCGACACATTCACTGTATATAAGAAAATTTGCATTTGCGACAGTTTGGAACGAAATGGACTCTGATATTGGCAATCGTAAATCTCTCAATCTTGCACATTCTTCCACTCTTTACCTTGTAACTTGGTCAGGTATCAAAATTTTTCAGAATTTGAAAAATTCATTAAAAGCCCATAGACTTGGCGTAAAAATATGTTTCAGGACCAAAGTTCATTTTGATCATCGCTTTAGAGCCCGGGGAGTTTAAATTATCAAAGATATTTGCAGCGCTGGTTGTTTCTGGAAACGGCTATTTTGGTACACGTTTGGCAGCACAAGATTTTTTCAAACCCTAAAACAACTTTTTAGGAGCCACTCAAAGGTTTTAAAAAAATTGTAGTAATTTTTTTTGTATTTTGGAGCGAACTCATAGTGTAAAAACTTTTAAAAAATTGTATTAGATTTATACTTGACTTGCTCATAAACGTTCTGTGACTTTGCCGATTTTGCGTGAAGCCAAATTCACAGCAGATATAAATTGAAGATTCCGCTGTAGGCAGCTGAAACCCTTATCAAAATATTGCCAGTGGTTCTTTAGAAACGCGCTTAAGGAGAACCTGGTGCAGAAAAGAAAACTGCCCTAAAAACATTCAAAGGTCAAAATTTTTCTCTGAAGGAAGCCGTCCCTTTGGGAAACCCAAATTCACACCATATAAACTGAAGCTTTATCTGTCGGTAGCTGGAACTCTTATCAAGATGTTGCCAGTGGTTTTTTTAGAAACGCGATTCCGAAGAACCTGGTGCAGAAAAAAAAACCGCCCTTTAAGACGTCCAAAGATTAAGATTTTTTTATGACCGAACCCGTCCTTTCAGAAAGCCCAAGTTCATAAAAAGATATAAATTGCGGATTCATCTGTCGATAACTGAACCTGTATTAAGATATTGCCAGTGTTTCTTTGGAAACACTCTTACGAAAAACATGGTATAGAAACAAAAACCAGCTCAAAATCGTCCAAATTTCATAAATTTCTGTTGATTATAGCCATTTTCTCAAGGAACCCAACTTTACACCGGATATAAATTGAGGATTCGTCTGAAGGAACTTGAAGCCCGCAGTCAGATATTCCCAGTGGTTGATTAAAAACGCGCGCAAGAGAAACATGGTGCAGAAGCAAAAACCAACTCTAAAAACGTGCAAATTCATACATTTTTGCTGATTACAGCCGTCTTTTAAAGGAACCCAAATTCACAACAGATTTAAATTGATTATATCAAGATACTGGCAGTGGTTCTTTAGAGACTCGCTTAAGAAGAACCTGGTGAAAACCCATCCTAAAAACGTCAAAAGATAAATATTTTTTTCCTAACGAAACCCGTCCCTTTAGACAACCCAAATGAGCACCAGATACAAATTGAAGATCAATTTATCGATTTATGCATCCCGGGCGTTTCTTCAGAAAAGAGAAATAAGATTAGGAACGATTTCTTGAATAATATATATATATTGAATATTTTCGAATGACCATATTTAATATTTTTCCAAAATTCTTGGTTGTCTAAGCTTGATTCAGAAGAAATCACCATGATTTATCTATTAGATCAAAAGTTATTTCATTTAAGGTCACGAAAAAACTTTGATAACGGCATATTTAGCACGTATAATAATAAATTTTCTATTTAAATGTTTAAATAAATTTAAAATGTAAAATCCTTTTACATTTTACGAATGTAACAAATTAAACTTCAGAAAAATTAAGGACCAAATTAAGGCAAAAATACCAATTTAGTCTTGATCTTCATCAAAGATCTTGTTTTTCCATTTTGGCTGCTTTTCACTGTATTGAGCTTTTCTGCCAGTCGTCATATTTGTGTTCCCCTCTCAACCTCAATTGCTTTGTTGAAAAATATTGTGAAAATTAACCCAAATCAAGGCAAATAAAATTCCAGAGAATTTGAAAAAAATAGTTACCTGTGGTGTCAACAATCGGTATTTTCCCGCTTTCGGTTTCCTATAAGATGGAGCATATCCACCCAAATATCCACCAAAGTGGCTTTCAACCGGTGCGGATTTCACATTGAGATCCTCCAAAGTAAAGTAGGGTTTCTCCGTTGCCTTTGAGTAAAATGAATGTGCATACGAAGGCTTTTTAGCAACCCTGAAATGAAAATTTTCCGTTAGAGCAAATATTTCCGAGGACGAAGATGGTGCTTCCAAAAGATCCAAAATGTGCAAAATGAACAACGACGGTGCCAATGGAAATGTTGTGCAGACGTAAGGGTTTGCTCAAACCTCATACTTAGTGATATAAGTGGGAAATGTTGGGCCACTCTCAAAGTACTCTTCTTCGCTTGCTTCGCTATTAATCGGATTAATATAGTCGACTTTTGAATCTTTTGGAACCAACAGCTTCTCGTCATCGTCCAGATATATTCGAATGCGCTCGTAATCTTCCGAAGGGTACCTGAAATTATATAAATCTAACTTTCTGTTTTGTATTTTTTGAAGAAACAAACGAGGAAATATTATTATTTACTTATTGGGAAAAGCGGGGAATTATTGAATTATCTTTGTAAACTCCTGGAAAAATCACCCTTCTATGTATCTTCAATACGAAAACTAAGTCCTCTTGGTGATTCCTTTCTGCATTCTATTTCTGCTAGGATTGAAAATTACTTAATAAATAACACACTCTTTTCACACCTTAACAGGTAAAATTAACGTTTATGGCTCTAATAAAACCTGAATTGAGAGACATCGAAATCCCGGAAAAATGTGTGAAACAGCTAAGATAATATTAGCTCATTAAAGCAAAACAGTTTATTTTTAATGAAATATTTCGTTGCCTGCTTAGTTCCAACAACGTAGAAAACCCTGTTGTCCCAAATTCCTTCAAAATTTGATGGTTTAGTAAATGATCCATTGCTTCGAAGCAGTCCATTACGCCATTATTGTTTTTATTACTTGTGTGTTTTCCTTCTAACGAGATTTTAAAGACTTTCCCTTGCCCGCTAATTTCAGTTTAAACGACAACACGAATCACTTAAGCACTTTAGAGATGTGGTGAAAGGGAGATTTGATGCTGATAGAGCCATTACTCGCTTTTTTTTCACTCAAAGCTCACTTTGTGGCATGTGATTAAGAACAGCTTTGTATAAAAAGAATGAAAGCTTCAGTTTAACAAAATCCTAACTTACATGGAATTTAATTAGTTCCTTCTATTGTTCTTATCAGAAAACTAGTGTATGGGATACGCAATCTTTCACGACAATATGTAATAATGCGGGTATTCATGCCAAACAATAAGAATTATTTACTAAAACCTGCTTATTTTTGTGGAATATTTCACCTCATTTCGAAACACATCAAAGAACGCAATCTTACATATGGTATGTCGGTTATTCCAATGTCGCAATGTGAAGTCAAAAGGAACAGAAGATGCGGGTTTTTGGTAATTAAAGGCTTTCCAAGAAAGGAACTTTATTTCAACATATTTAACGAAGGTTCCAATACTTCGCTTTTTCAAAAACCAATGCTTTCTAATTATTTATAAGCTACTTTATCTATTGTGCTAATTTGCGGTTGCACACATCAGGTGAAGATGTTAAAAAATTAAAATAGAAACTTTAATATGTGCTCAAAGGAAATATACATTTCAAATCTGAAATATTAGTTTATTAGCAGAAAGAAATGTTACTACTTACCCAAATCCATATAATGAACTATCGGCCTTATTTTGATGAATTATCAAACAGACCTAAAAATGTAAACATTAAAACAAATATACTATGAAAACAAAGTAAACACCATGTAAAATAACGCGCCCCAGTCATTTTTGGTTTATTTTACACTTTCATGCAGAGAAAAAGGTATTTTCTGAACCGCATGAGATAAAAATGATTGAAATACGTTACAAAAGCATAAAAGTTAACAATCTATTTGCCTAATGAAAATTATTACATAGATGATTAGGCAGCAGATTTCAGAAAGTAAACGAAAATGAAAAATCTATCCCAAAAGAATCTTCAAATTGTACTAAACACTCTGATTTCCAGACAAGTTCCCCTTAATTTGAATTTGATATGAATATTCGAATTATTTACTGTGAGCAATCACAAAAAAGCTCAATTGAATAGCGCCAGAATAAAAGACTGCATAATACTTAAAAATTTAAATTAAATTAAAAATTTTAATGCAAAAAAACGTTCTGAAGATCAATCATTTCAATCTTTCATTTATATTAATGTTTTAATAATTGCCGTAAAAAAGTAACAAGTTAATTACAATTATCACTAGCATGCAATAGCAGATAAACAAATCACTCACCTGCAAAACGAAAACGATCTTCATATTGTTTTAATGATCGCAAAACTGGTTCAATTGTCGATTGTACGCGCTCTTTTATTACACTAGTTAACGAAGAAAGCTTCATTTAGTAAAGTTCAGCTTGTCGCTAAATCTACCACTTTTTGAAGTCTCAAACCACGAATAATTACTCATCGACGGACATTGTTTAAATGCAACATACGCGAAACTTTGCTATCCTTGAAAAGACGCAAATCTAATAACACTAGGTATCAATGAAAGTGCGAGTTGATCAGTCCGGAGGTAGTCGAGAAGAACTAATTGAAGTCAATTATTCCGCTGCTTTTCCCATAAAACGTTGATCGGTTGTTGAGACGAAAAAAGCCCGGAAACAGGCTCCTGTACCTCGATGGATCGGCAAAAGAACTGCGAAGTTTGCGAACATAAATTTCGTAAAAACTATATGTATTCAAAATGAAACATGTCGCTGAATTTACTTCCCATCACATGAGCACCTGTTGCGTATTGTGCAATCGGCAATATATGCAATAGGTGTCGCAATTGGAAAATTGCCTTAGAGGAAGCATAAGTTGACAAAATTACACGGATGAAACCAGCCGACCATTTAATAGGAGAAATTCATATGTGGCTCTACGAAGCCTAAAACCAATTGCATTTTGCTGTAGGTTTTCACTATCCATTGATAGAAATATGCAATGAATCGTTAGTACCAGGCTCTCTTTTACCAACAAGTTCTGAGCCTTTAAAAGCCATTTGATAAATGATCCTTTGGTACTTGTAAATGCCTAAGTACATAATTTCTAAGTGATTTTTTATATTGTCATATAGGTGTTTCAAGTTTACTACACTTATTTTACTAGCTTGTAAACTTATAAATAACCAAAAACGTTTATTAGTAAAAATTTTCAAATTTTTATGATTGGCACTACCGCTATTTACAGGGTGTCCCGTAAGCTCATATTCAAAAGGGTACTGCTATATTCTTTGGACCAATGGAAGACGAGCTGACCTAACTTTTATTAAAAAAAAAATGTCTGGCTCCTCTGCTATTGATGGTCAAAGTTCTTCGAAAAAAGTCTCTCTTTCGAAATATCGAGAGAATGGTACGATGTATTTTGGTGAACCTGAATTTGTTCTGATGTAAGACTCATATTTTGATGAAACAATCGAGTTCAGCCATTTTGGACAAGTGGTGAATTATTGAGTGTCGTGGTACAAAAACTACCAGAACTTTTTAGTTGGAGGATGAAATCAACTCATTTTTTTTAGGTTGATGCACTAATCATCTGTGTACAATTTTGTATTCTTAGTAAAATCTTGTAGCATTCACAGTTTTTGAGTAAAAAAAATATGTCTGTTTTCCAGTCACTTAGCAATGCTAGACATTTACTGAACTATTTGCGTGAACGCGTATGCGTTCACGCAAATTGTCTTCGCAAAACCCTGAAAAATACTTTGACCATGTCGGTCACTTCTTTGTGAGAAAACGTCATTCAACACGAATTTGTGAGATTAATTGACAATGATTTTATGCCTCGTATCACGATATTTGTAGTTAATGTCTAAAATTCTTAAGTGGCAAGGATTTTTTTTTTTTTGCAAAAACTATGAATGCTACAAGATTTTACAAAGAGCACAAAATTGTGAATAAATGATTAGTGCATCAACCTAAAAAAAATGAGTTGATTTCATCCTTCAACTAAAAAGTGCTGGTAGTTTTTGTACCACGACACTCAAGAATTCACCACGTGTCTAAAACGGCTGAACTCGATTGTTTCATCAAAATCTCTTACATAAGAACAAATTCACAGGGAGTTTCACTAAAATACATCGTACCATTCTCCCGGTATTTGAAAAAAGATAAATTTTTTGAAGAACTGACCATCAATAGCAGAAGAGCCAGACATTTTTTGTTAATAAAAGTTAGGTCAGATAGTTTTCTTTTGGTCCAAAGAATATATATACCCTTTTGATCATGAGCTTACGGGACACCCTGTATAAGCTAAATACTTCTTTAGTGAGGAACAGTATAAGTAAATGAGACAGACAGTATGTGTAATATCTAATGTTTGAACATTCATTGCTTGGATTGTTTGAACAGCCATTTGGTAAGTTGTTAAT